TTTCTATCTTCTCTGTTTCACGAAATCATTCCTCGCCAATGAAATTTGCATTTTTTTTTTGGGAGTCCGTGCTCAAGATGCAGGCGCGCATAAGGTAAGATTTTAAAACGGGACGATGACACATGGAGTGAAAATAAACCCCAAAATCTCAACGATGTGCGTTTTGCTCACTGTAGCAGCGCTATAGCGAAAAAATGCATAAAAGAGTGATGCAGAAATGTGACATATGATAAATGAACTTGAAATTTGGTGCAATTTAGGAATACGCAACGGGCGAAGAGTCGGATGAAGTCAACAGATGTGTATATCTGTGTGAAGGAATGGTTAAAATAAGAAGACTGAAAAGACGGAGCAAGGCACTGCATGTAAAATTGAACAGATCCACGTGCAGCATGTTTCATCTCTTACAGATGGAGGAAAACGTACGAGTAAGAGTAGGGATTATCAATACTTTCGTCACAGCTTGAGACCACACTAGGGGAAGGTCTGGACGGCAAGAAGTTACGCAGAAAACAAAGAAAAAGTTTTTTGATAATTTATAGGGTTATGGAAAAACTAAAGGGAACCTAATAACAGGATGCGTACTTACATGTGCAATCAAGTTGTCCACTTTGAATTTCTTCGCTTGCGGTTCGCTAGGATTCATGCTGAGAACTGTAAAATTGTTCAAGATAGATTAAAGGAAGATCCGTTGGTGTATTACATAGTTCGCAGAATGCACGTAATGCTGGCAGCTGGTATCGAGGCCCCTAGGAGTTTATAGCTTTTTTATGGCTTTTGGTGGTTTCAAGGAATACTTGCACAGAATAGGTCCGGCTGCAAAACAGAATTTGGCATCAGCCGTTTTCGCTCGAATGCTATGGAACCCTTCACGTTCACACAGGCCATTTATTAGTTCGGGCCACCAACGGAACTATCAGAGCAATGCCGATATGGTCTGGACAATTAACAATCAGCGCGCCATCAATATACCTAAAAAGGTTGAAACAAACTGTAGGATTTCTGTGCAGAAATCTGTACTCACTAAATGAGGAAAAGAGCGGGGGGAGAGGGGGTGGGTAAAATCCGCAGTGTTTGCGGGGACCCCTGCACCTGCTTGAACATATATCTCCCACAAAGTACCACACAAAGAACTGCCTTAATTTCGACTTTATTTTAGAAGGACAGATAACCCATGTAGAAAATACCACACTCTATGCGAGTTTTGTCGAGCTCGATAAACTCCCAAAGGCCAGTGAGATAGTCCAAAACCATCGATGAAATCGGAATGGGGCAGACTCGCAACGAGATTGAAGTCTACAGCGTGCAGGTGCTAGATTGCACCATTTAGTGTGCTTAGTTTTTGAACCACCGACTGCGAGATGTTAATGTTAAATTAGCGCGACCACTAAGCTCGTTTGTAAGTTAATATTCTGTATAAAATCGGGCAGCTTTTGGGCAGGGTACCCATTTTACATGCCATAGAGGAGATGAAGTTGCCTAAAGAATTGCAGATCTTGTTTTCGACTACCCTAGCCAGAGATGCTCTGTACTTGGCACGCTTCCTCAACTTGCCCCGTAACTACCTACTGCGGATGACATCCAAATTATCGCCGTCACCATGTACCCAGCCAGGCCACAACAGAAAAGTTGACTTAGTGCAACTACAGTCAAAGCAAATGAGTGAGTTCATCCGATCTGTCAGTGAATCGTCTGAGGAATCTTTTATAATCTTAAAGATACGTCCATGTCCGTCCACTTGGTAATGCCACTTAATTCGTTGAATGCCCACTTCTACAACGCCATCCAAGGGTAGTCTGCTGAAGAGGGCGCGAAGATGAGGAGGGTGGGGGAGAGGAAAGTGGGAGGGGATGGGAGAGGAGGAGAAAAAACTTAACGAGCAATATAAGTTTCTGCTGGTTGATGGAAACCGGTCTACGTCTGGCCAAAGGCGCAAGTTTTTTTGGGAGCCGCGTAGTTAAACAGGACCCCAATCTATCGAACAACGAACAGTGCCAAATTACGCCTCCCGAACCAGACGGAGCCGAGGTTCCCGGTCCGGCGGACTTTTAATCAATAACCAGAGGGAAAGCCCTCTAACTTCTGCAGTCGAAGGGCGGGAATCTCGCTGTGAGGCAGACGGGAACATCTGAAACTACACAGCAGGTAAGGCATAAAATAATCAGTCAGGGTATTAAGAAGTCCAGGAGTTGTGGTCTTAACCCTGAAAAGAGGTGAGAAAATAACGAAGGAGAATGTTCAAAGAGCGCCGCCAAATAGCACTGTCGTGTGATACACAGTATGATGGAACAGCTGTCTCACTAGTTCGTACAGTTAAATGAAAGCACAGGAGAGATATTGAAAGGAATAGTTTTGGTAGTGAAGCATGCAGTCAGGGCACACGATCGACAGGCTAGCTATATCACTATCAGATCTAAGTAACAAGTCGGGTATAGCCTCATAATATAGCAGGTAATTAACCTACAAAAGTGGTGAAGCGACAAGACGATGGAATGAGCTGAACATAAGTGATGACTGGAAGTTTAGTGACAGTGCGATCTTGAGGGGAAGGAAAATGATCAGAATCAAAAGATCGAGTTAATGGGAATTACGAGGAATGGACGAAAATACTGTGGCGGACAAATAAAAATCGGCACAGTAACAAGTAAAAAATCCCGGTAGCGTTACGCTAATGAAGGTGGAGCGCTAGAGTCTGATTAATTCAATAAGAACCAAGAAATTTCTCGAAGAATGCAGAGAGCAGAATTTACTTATCCAATTAAATTTTATCATTCTGTGCTTAAGCAAAAAAGTTAGGAAATGTCGACGAATTGATGGGCCCAAGCGTTCCTCTCCATACAGATTTCATATAATATAATGATAATATCTGTATTCTGTAGCGTACATGTGGCTATTTAATTTAGAAGTTGGATCACTTTTGGGTAAAAAATCAACAAGTAGTACAGAAAACTTATACTGTCTCATTCAGGAATACCCTCTGCTTTTCTCTGCCCTCTAAACATCTTCACCCCGTTAGGTTAGAAGCTGAATCTGGGTTCACAGTGAATTTTCGGGCCAGTCAATTGTCCTCTGTGCCAGTGCCTCAAGTTTTTTTACAAACTGCGCCATAAATCTATAGACGCCGACACTTTTGCAGAGATTCGCGTAGTGCACGTGTTCCAATTCAGCAATAAGAACTCATTCATTGACTGAGCAACACATGACTTTGATTTTTTACCTCCCTTGAAGAATTTCATGTTTGTATTGCATTTCCAGGATACCGAATGTATTCACCAGCGTTATAAATAACCGTGATGCTGAAGTCTACAGAAACAATACCCAATGCAGTTTTTGCAGCTCATACCATGGAATCCACTGGCACTCAAAAAAAAAGAAAGCGGAAGATATTATAGCGCAAATCTATTCAACCCCTACCAGAGGATGCCAGTCAAGTGCGCATTAATATGAAGTGTGAGGCTCGTCGCGGAGCTGTAGAAAAGCGAGGCTCAGTCTGGATAACACAAAGCAATTCGGTCCCAATGATCTGGGCAAGCACAGAGCAGCTCCGAAATGGAATAATAGTCTCTCATTCGCCACATATGTTGCTGGATGAGCAGCGGGAGCGCAATTAAGTAGAGCTCTAATTAAACGAAGCCGCGGTCGACTGGCTGCACGGCAGCAAGCTCTGGCCATTACTATGGAGATATTTAGCTGGGAACAAGAGGCACACAAGGTGTCATTAGCCAGATGAATTTTCCAATCACACTTTCGCATCTCACAGTCTCAGAATCAAGCCTGCACGTGCCCTTCCTTCACACCATCACTAAATATCACCAATGCATTTTGTCACATTGAAGGCTTCGTCACTGTCTTGGAAAACGGGCTTCAACCAGAACTCCTGCAAAGAAATGCCAGCTTTTGTTAGTGCTCACAAAATAAACGTCGCGTTTTATCGGCTTCTTTTAGAAAAGGTCCTGCCCAATGCTATTTTCTCTCAGGGAGTGTCTGGTTTTCTCCAGCCCCTCTCAGAGGCCCTGCGGCCTCCATCAAATTACCATCCTGCATTTGTGGTAAGGCTCGATCAAGTTTTTGTAATGAATATAGATAAAAAGCAGCTCAGCTTAATGTGTGTAACAATCATTCTCCAGCACTGCCATAACCCTATAAACAGTGACTGAAAAGATGCGCGAAAACTTAGGTCTCATTTCAAAGGTTTATGTGGAATGAATGCTCAATGGAATGTAATGCTGCTCGTCTGATGATTACTGAAGGAACGCTGTGTATTTACGATTATTACTCTTCTAAGCCAGGTCAACCCGGTAAGGATAACGAAAGTCGAACTAGAAATCAGCAGAGAATGCATCGATGGTTCTCGAATAAGCCTCGGAACGAAGGGTAGCCGATCCAAGTGGAAGTATTGCAGTGCTATTCCACAAAGTGGCATTCCGTGCATTTCCAGAGGAAGACAGCAAACAAATGGCGCAAAGGGCTGATCCGATCCGAAGCGGGCACAACGCACGGAGCAACGTCAACACAGATCGTCCTGCCTGCCTATCGTCATTCCACCATTCCAAGGTCTTTTGTAAAGACCGAAGGAAAAAAGAAGGAATGCAAATGCGAGGAAGGGAGGGCTCATGAGTCATCCGTAATTTTTGAGAACTTTGCAAAAACAGTGCACTGTCGAGCGCTTCACTGGGAGTTGAGGAACGAGGAAATGACGTGGTGATGGAAAAACAGGATGAGACGCCGACAGAAGCAAGGCAAAAAAGGGGGAAGGGGAGGTGCAGCAAAAGGGTGGGTATTCGAGAAGCGAGGGTAGAGAGGGAAACGAAAGAAGTGGACCCGAAGAATAACAAAAATTGGGGAAAGGTAGGTTTCCAAACGTGAAGAGGAAGAGGATATTCAAGAAAAACGGGAAGGCATATTTGGGACAAGGGAAGGAAATGTTGGTACTTGCAGTGGGACAAACCTCTGGAAAAACTCTTGGGAAAATATCTGAGAAAAGAAAAAAGTAATCCAGGAATGAAACTCGGAAAGGAGGGCTTGAAAAAGGCAGAATTCGAGAAGACAGCAGCTGCTGGGAAATGAAAGGACACCTAGTCTGATGAAAGGTACCCAGAGTGAAAAAGAGGTGAAAAAAGTAGGTTTCTGAAAGGAAGGTGTGGCATTCGGAGCAGCGGAGCTGTTATTTGAGGGAAAGAAGAGGGAATTTGAGAGAAGGAACTAAATGGGGGTGCAGCCCCACTCCTAAATAAACTATTGTTCAGTAAAAGGCGAGCGAATGAAACTGTTCGGAGGTGCAATATTGGGAAGCAGTGAGGCACGAACAACGCATCTTCGATCTCCTTGAAATTCGGCGAACAACATTTCCGCCGTAATTGTGAATTTAATAATAACTGCTTATTATTGTAGGCAATGCTCGGAGATGCTCAGTGTTCAGAGCGCTCGGCTTCTGTCGACCACAGAGCGGATCACACCCGGTAACGGAGTCTGCGACGGACGTCGTCTGGATAGTTGCGAGACCGAGCACTTAGCAACCAAAGTAAAAACTAAATAACAGCAAAGAACGAGGCACTCTTGCAAAAAAACAACCCCGAGAGGGCAAAGGAGAAGAGCGACAGTGAGGCTCATTGGGCGAAAGAGGACAGGACTGGACAAGACAGGCCAGGCCCGACGGCTTGCAGTGAGCATTCGGGCCTCATTAAATGGATACGTGAATGAATGAACGAGGCGATGAGGAGGAGTTGTTAAAATACTAATAGATATCCGACACTGGCGAGGTGCAGCCGGGGGATATGCTGCTACACACTGGCCATGCAAACAAGCCAACGAATGGCGCTCTCCATCCATGAGCAACAGCATCCCGGCCATCCATCCAACCGACCGGTTAGGCCTTGCACACCGAAAGAAAAGCCAGCATTTGGCCTCATCTATTATATTTCAAAAGGTATCTTGCCTAGCCTTCCTTAGAGAGCTCTAGGCTTCTTAGCTGTCATGAAGCTATTCAGCCGCTCGTAAACAACTAGCCTTTTTTCAATTTACCTACAGTTTCGAGCCTGTGCTTTGCCCATCGTTCAAACCAAGCAGTGACACGCACCAAAGAGGGGGGGAGGGGAGGGAGGATGAAATTAGACAGGGGGAGGGGCGAACGGGGAAGGAGCAGATGTGATTATACGTTTTTGCGGCCGGCCAATACAATTGTATTTAGCTGCATTACGGTAGTAATACTTAGGAACTAAATTTGAAATATTTGGGTCGCACATAAACGATGAAAATGCTCACAGCTTTTTAACCTAAAAAATTTTTACCCTCACGGTTTTTTAGTTTCCGAGTTAGTAATTTCCCGCCAAACTTTCACGTGTCCGAGCGTGGCAACCAAACGAACTCAGACACTGAATCTAAAATTTTTGCATCGAAAAGGGCAGAGAACATCCTCCTAGGATTTCAATTAGCTGCTCTTGCTCAAGTTAGCAGTCTTCCCACTTAATCTTACGCTTGTACATATATGGGAGCAGGTGTACAAAGAATAGTAGAATAGAAGAGACTGGACTCAGTATCATGTATAAGACATGCTACTGGAAATTGAAATTGAAATCATTAGAACGTATGTGGACAAAGAATACATTCCAAAAATTTCGGTACGGGAGATTCAAACGCGCGTGGAAACTGACACAATGTTCCAGGGGACACATTTGGTCATGTGCTGTCACAATATGAGTTTTTGCTGACTGCTGTTGTGCCACAGCACTGCACAACAAAAATGCATAAAAGCTAATATTTTATGGAAAGTAGAATGATCTTGCAGTACGAAAATATCTTTAAGTTCAAGAGGAGCTCCTCCGAAGGCTGTACTGGAAAACAGGTTAGCCTAAAGAGCTTTGATAGTAAAATGACACTGCGATCCCCTGAACTTCTGACCCACACCTGCGTTTAAAAAACGCATCCTCTTAGCATATTTGGCATTCCAAGAACTGTTCCGCTCAGATTACAACAGTCCTCGCATGGAACAATACGGAGCTGGCGCCTTCTTCCTTTCAGAGGTTGGAATGTACGAGAGATTTTGTTAAGCGATATGCATGTGCAGGTACTAAGTTGTGCTGGAGATTTACTTAACCACAGGGAAACAAGACTCCTAAACCATAAGTAAAGACTGCAAGGACAAAAAATTCTTGAAGCAGGCATTCTTCCCCACTCCCTCCAAAAGTTCGACAGTTACTTTCACAAAGCGAGGAGATGCGAGTGACGAGGGTAGTACGGGACAAAGTTCGTCAACACAAAGTTTTTCCAAATCGTACCAAACCTTTTCAGGTCTCAAACAAAAAGTATATCAAGTTGTTATTATTGTTCTGCAAGAATTCCTTACTTTAGCCTGCTTTAGTTGTTGGCGGCTGAGCATTACGTGCATAAGTTCTGGGCTGCTTATTACCTTAATCACGAGCTGCAAAAAGATTTTGTGGTGGTAAGCAACCTGCCGAATGTGGCTGCTTACCATGAGAATTTGCAAATCCTGTTGCGGATTAGCTCATGTAACTAGCACGAGAACGCCATTTTGTTCTGGCTGCTTCAAATCGACGATGTTTGTTGTGGGGTCGAAACACTCCAATCTATATTTTCATTTCATTTAGCGTTCCAACAATCGCCCATCGCCAGCTCTTTTAGGCCTTTTCGATGCAATCATCAAAAAACGTCCATCCGTCAGTTTGTCCATCGTCCTGGCATTAATTATGTATCAGCCTAGACGGCTGCAACGGCTCAACTCCCGAGCGATAGAACAAAATTATAGCATGCAAATGTTTTTCAAATGTTTATACCCTTTTAGGATCAAAATTTTTGGCATCCAGCAACTGTTATCGATCATTTTTTCTGCAAATGCATCAGTCGGCTTACTGCACTGTAAAGGACTCACATCAGTTCCCACAAATAACGTACAGCGCTTTTAAACCTGTAGGGAGGCGGTGCTTGTACGTGAGACAGACGTAACGGATACTATGAATTTCAAAAGAAGGCGGTGAAGTCCATTATAAAACGGCGCTTAGCAAACATCGAAACACTCGCGAAACTTTTTGACACAAAGTGTGCAGTAACGGATAACAATTCAGGAGTGCAAAAATGCTTGTCATCGTCGAGAATGAGACAGAAATCGTCATCGGACCGTACACCGAAATTTGTGCTTCACAGTATCAGGCAAACATTCGGCAGCTTCAAAATCTACACTAAGAAACTTGGCATTATGTTATAAATAATCTGATTATATTACAATATTCAAGTACAGTATTGGATGGTCTTTCTGGGCTCAAAGAAATACGGACTGCTCGAACAAACCGTCCTTCTGAAGGCACATATCGTAGTCAACACGAACAGGAAAATATCGAACAATTAAGAGCCAAGCATGCTAATAATCCCGGGAAAGAGACCCGATATTCGGGCGACCATTTCTCTTCCTACAAAAACACCTCTCCAAGCTGCTTCATTTAAAAGCCGAAGCTTGGGACTTTGCTTAAACAAATTTCTCCACCCTTCTTCGTGTCCAACTCCGCTAACGCGGATTTGAGCATGCAGCATTCAGCCTAACCTCTCTGGTCATCGTCATCCTGATGACTGTGTCGACTTATGTATGCGAAGAAAACAATGAATTTCCAAAACAGCGCGCCGCTGATACGGAGATGTTTTGATACGAGGAATCGAAACAGCGGTGAGGTCACAATCAAGTAGGTAGCGTTCGAAGCAGTGAACATATTGACGACTAACGGATCCGTGAGTGCACCTATTATCCAGTATTTACTCGTATTATTAATGCTAAGTGCTTATTCTCCCTCACTCCCTCCCTCCGCCTCCTGTTCCAATTTCATTACTACTGCTGTTTCGACGGATGTTCTTCCGGTAACCGCTCAGGCACCTTACTGCCTCAGAAAGCAAGCGTTCGCTATACATTTCAGTGGCGCAGTGCAGCAATCCCAGCCGACTACTCACATCACGCATTAAACACGTTTTATTGTGTGTTAGGCCCTAATTCGTGCACTTATGAGTGCAGTGAATCATGCCTACCGCCCCTGCTGTTACTGCCAGCTGTAAAATTAATTGTGTAAAAGGCACATATACCCCAAACTCATCCCGTCAGCCGCGAATACTGGGATGAGGACCTCGACAACACCAAAACCGTCTGCTGGAAGACTTACTTTTGACAGGAAAACATACTAACACTAAATTTAATGGAAAACACAGCACGGCGTCATCACCTTGAAACCGTCAATCTTGGTAAGTACTCTCTGACTATATCACTACTCTGATTTTGCTCCGAGGTCACTTCTCTCTTCCTCCTTCTCTTCCTTTCCCTCTCCCCTCTCTTCTCCTCCTAACCTTATACAGTTTTAAAGAAATAGCAATAAATTTAAGGATTTTGAAAACCGACTCATTAAATTATTAAAAACAGTTACCTTGGAACCAACCTCCACTCTCTGCTACACCATCACCTGCGGCCAAGGTCTTAAGTCAATCCAGCTGAAGCTCGAGAACTTGAAAACCACTGGTTGGAAATTCTGGTGAATTAATCCAAAGCAGAGCTTGGGAAGGAAAGCATGAATTCAGTTCTCAATTTCTAAATTTTGAATCCAAAAGCTGCAATAACTTACAGCGAAAGTATGCATTCTGCCCTCTATTACTTTCATTGAAGCCCAGTTTTGTGTACATTTCCCCTTTTTATGCGTTTTTTGCAGCAATGCAATGCGAAAAACGCATATTGACGAGAGGTTGTC